TTATGTTGGTTTAATTGTAGCGTGAGAATATTTCTATAGCATTCAAAAAGTCAGAATATTTCTGTAGCATCCGAAAAGTCATAGTGACAGATAATTTAAATCAATTATTCTCGCAGCTATAAATAGATTCGTTAGACAATATTGTTCAGTTGGGTATTTTTTATATTTTTTGAAAATTTGATTTACAATTCAATGTGAACTAGAAAATCTATTCATTAGATTTTTAAGCGGTTGAAAACATGAACACTCATTAGAAAAGAGAGCCGTCATGAAGAAATATATGACTGGATAATTTTGTAATAATGTTAATTTAACTTTATAGGGATTTTCAGATTATGTTAATGTAATATAATTTTTTCATTTTAATCCTTACAATTCTTTTATTTTAAAACATTCCTGGATGTCCCATTTGCTTGACAAATTTTTTGTGTTGAGAATGCTTTCAGGCACGGGTAATGACTAGTTATATAATAAAGTAGATAACTTTGTTTGTCTTGAGCTTTTTACGGTTCAGATCGTTTGAGAATTATTGATTCGATGATCCTAATTGGATTTTCATTTCTTTTAAAACTCTAAAACTTTTATTTCTCATATAACTCTTTTTTTCTATCTCATACACTCAACTTCATACCTATATAACTCTCTCTCTCTCTCATTAGACATTTTAAACACATTCTCCCATCTCTTATGATCCGTTTGGTAGGAGGGATGAAATGTTGGAAGGATGGAAAAATATGAGAGATAGATTTTTCATCCTTGAAGGAAGGAAATATGTTTTCCATATTTTGTGTTTGGTAAGAAGGATGAAAAAGTAGAAGGAATAAATTTTTTATTATTTTATTTGATATGAAAAAAAATAATACAATATTATTACTTGTGAAATATCAAAAATACCATTAATAGAATATGAATAATTTATTGAGAGATATGAGTTATTTGGAATAAATGATAATTAAGCATTACGTAAAAGTTGTGGGACTCATCATGCCCAACTTGTATGCCACTTTCGCCCAAAAATTGAGGGATTAAAAATGGTGGGCTGGATGAATTTTCTTTCCCTCCATCTTTCCCTTATAACCAAACAAAGGAAAATTACATTTTTCATTCTACTTTCCATTCACCATTTTCCATCCATCCTTTTTTCCCTCGTACCAAACAGGCCATTAGACTCTCTCTCTCTCTCTCTCTATATATATATATATAAATAGAGATATAATGAAAGTCTAATTAATATTTTGTGGCTCAAATTATTTGAGAATTATTGATTCGATGATCTTAATTGGACTTTCATTACTTTTAAATTCTAAAACTTTTATCTCTCATATAATTCTCTCTCTGTCATGTACACCAAATCTCATACGTGTATATATATATATATATAGAGAGAGAGAGAGAGATAGATAGATAGATAGAGATAGAATGAAAGTCTAATTAAGATCGTCAAGATAAACAATGTTATCTCATATTATCTCTCTTAGTATTGTTTGTTTTGACAATCCTAATTAGATGTATTTATTTAAAATATTTGTATGATTTTATAGATGAAAAAATATTTAAATGATAAAAAAATTTCTTAGTTATAGACATTCAAAGCCAAAGTTAATCACTAATAAAAAATAACAAGTGATACCAATTGCACTAAAAAAATAAAAAAAATTCAAAACTAAGTTAATTACCAATAAAAAATAACAAATGATACCAATTGCATTAAAAAAAATAAAAAAATTCAAAATCAAGTTAATTACCAATAAAAAAATTAAGTGAAACCAATTGTACAAATAAAATAAATAAATAAATAAATAAATAAATAAATAAATAAATAAATAAATATATATATATATAATATATATATATATATATATATATATATATATATATATATATATATATATATTCAAAACCAACTATCAATTTACTTTACTTATTTGCATCATTTTTCTCTTACTAATGTTCATATTTTTTTGAATACTTGAATAGTGCAAAATAGACACCGAAACGACAAAAATGTTAGTTAAATCAATTTCTTTTTAAAGTGGTGAAATTTTGATTTTGTTGATTTGGTTTAATTGCAGCGTAAGAATATTCCTGTAGCATTCAAGAAGTCACAATAATAGAGAATTTAAATCAATTGTCCTCATAGTTACAAGTATATATGTTGAACAATATAAGTTAAGTTGAATTTTTTTGTATTTTTTAAAAATTTGATTTGTAGTTTAATGTGAATTAGGCAACCTATTCATTAGATTTAGTCAAAGATTGAAAAAATGAACACTCATTGGAAAGAAGAGCCACCATTAAGAAATGTAGATAATTTTGTAATGGTGTTAATTTAACTTCATGGGGATTTTCAAATTGTGTTAATGTGATATGATTTTTCTTTATTTCAACTCTTGCACTTCTTTTATTTGAGACATTTTTGGATGTCTTATTTGTTTGGCGAATTTTTTGTGTTAAGAGTGCCTTAAAAAGACTAGTATTTATATATATGACAGAGAGAAATAAATAATTATATTCTATATGTTGATATAGATAGATATGAGAGAGAGAAATTTAATATTAATTAACTTCTAAAATTTAAGAGTTGTTAGTTTTTAAATTTATTTTAATTAAACATAACTACTAGAGTTATTTTGAACAATGAAGAGCAAATTGACTTAATATTAAACAAATTTTTTTGATGGACTTATCACAAAATAAGTTCACAAAAAATAGACTGACCCCAAAATTTTCTTTTTTTTTTAAACTTGACCCATTTTTATACTTGAATTTTGTTAATTGGGCCTATATGTTGGATCGTGTCCTTACCTGACAGTCACAGACCACTTTATCAGGTCAAAAGCCACGGACACCACCCAAACACAATCGTCACGTGATTGGCAGAATCGAGCCAACTCATAACCCACCAAGCAAATGGACCAACTCATGAGCCCCCCCGTATTTTTAACCGAGCCCTACCACAACACTATTATGTCATCAATCCAAAGAAAGACGAAGCTTCCCATTCGGCCACAAAGAGAATCTACTTCAGAATATACTTGCACGACATACCTAATGTTGGTCCAATTGTCCCAAAGTCCTTATCACTTATCTTCGTCAATTTCATGGAAGCTACCTACCCTTTAAAATTTGGTTCCAACACGTTTTAACATACAAATCCTAGTTGGGATGTTTTTCACATGCTACATATATATCTATCTATATCTTTTTTTTTTTCTGCTAAATAAAAAAAATGTGAGATAAAAGAAAATGTTCTGACACCATTCCAATAGGCTCCTATTGATCCTATTGTTGAGAGTAAATATTCAATGCAACGGTGGTGACATGAAATTACCAATCAATAATAAAATCATAAATAAGAAAGATGAACCCTAATTAAGCTTATATGACATGATGGTGAAAAATTATTTGTTTATATGACAGGTTAATTATTATTTTTGTGGGGTCTATAGATTTATTTGTTTTAGTATTATTATTTGGTGATATCACATCACATTTGTCACGTGATATCACTGTTATAATGAATATTTTTTTCACTGATTGGATTATGAGACCTCTGACAGTGCTCGTTACTCTTCTCATAAATGAATCTAACTAATTTAACATAACAGTCAACCATATATATATATATATACTACTTATAGTCAGCATTTGCAAAAAATGATTTCTTATTTTATTTCTAATTATTATGATAAAATCAGTTACACTCACTTATATATTTTCATTTAATTTTTATTTTTTACTCCTATTTGACTTTTAGCTTATTTTGTACTTTTTTTATAAGGACATCAAAATTCATTTGAATTAATTTATTAGTTGTACAGTTAGATACAATTTTCTATATCTATACGAAGAAATAAAATCTTATATATATTAATTATTGCACACATGTAATTATCAAGTTGAATTTCACAATCAAATATATGTTATATTTTATTTGTTAGTATGTAATAATATAATAATATTATAAGTGATCTAATTAATTTATTTAATAAAATAAAAATTAATAATTTTATAATATAATTAAATGTAGAAATTGCTAAAAGAGTCAAAACGACGCTTATAAAATAACAGATTAATTACTCAAAAAATTATAAAATAAATTAATAATTAAATTTAATAATAATTATATAAAAAAAGATTTTATTTGTAATTGACCCAATCAGACAGCTGTATGCTTTGCTGTGGGCACGCCAACAACCACCGACGGCACTCGTTTATAAAATAAGATTAAAAAAAATTCAAAATCACGAAAATGCCACGCGAATTCGGCTATAAAAGCAGCCTTCCAGCACAATCTTTGCCTTCTTTCGCCAGGCTTTTGGTTTCGTGGATTGTTGGGCATCAGGTAAGTCTGCTTCTTTCTTCCTCGGTTGAATCTATTTATCTTCGTTAGATTTCTGTTTTTTTGTTTTCTTATCGTTTCTTTTTGCTTGAATTTCCTGGTTTGTATGATTTATTTTGGTTTTATTTCTTTTTCGTCGATCAATTTTTTGTGATTTGGTTTGGTTTCAAATCGCAGATAGAAACAGCCGTTTCGCTTTGTAGTTCTACGAACAACTCATATCTTGGCTGTAGATTCAACATTGGATTTAAGAGCATCACGTTTCTGAGATTTTGAAGTTCTGATTTTGTTTGGTTTCTAGGGTTCTTGCAACTGACTATCGTGATCTGAAATTGGGGGTTCTGTTTATGGTTTCAATGATTCTAGGGTTTGTTATTTGGAAAACCCATTTATCATATTCTTTATGACGTACGCCATACGGATGCGTCGGATTCGTATTCTTCACTCATTCTCGGTTGTGTTCCTCTACTGGTTCTACGTCTTTTCATGAATTAGCCCTTTCATTCAAAGTACAAACCCCTTTTTTCTCTCTAAACTTTCTGAATTCAACTTGCCAAATCCCAAATCACTCTGATTGTTAGCAAACCCACCCTTCAAATCTACATTAACAAGCAAAAGTAGAGTACCTGGCATTATTTTTTGGTTAAGAGATAGTAGAATGGCTTCCACACAACAGCAAGCGAGTTCTGGATCCGACGAGAGGAAGAGGAAGAGAATGATATCGAATCGGGAATCAGCTAAGAGGTCGAGGGTGAGGAAGCAACAGCGTTTGGATGAATTGATTAGCCAAGTGAGCCAGTTGCAAAATGAGAATAACCTCATCACCCAGAATATCAATAACGCTACACAAATGTATTTGGGGGCTGCTTCTGATAATAATGTTTTGAGGGCTCAGCTGTCTGAACTGACTGATAGGTTGAGGTCATTGAATTCGGTTCTTCAGATCGCAGAGGAGGTAAGCGGGTTGGCTCTGGATATTCCCGAACTTCCGGATACATTGCTGGAACCATGGCAGCTCCCTTGTCCGATACAGCCGATCACAGCATCCTCCGACATGTTTCATTATTGAACAGGTGTTGAAAGAAGACCCTTGTCCCATCGCTTTGAGACCACCCTCTGTATTGGTCTCAACTGTTTCTAAGCTTGTTTCTTTGTCGTGCTCTGTTATTTGTTGTTGTTTTGGCTACCATGGTTGTCAGTGTATTCGTTTACCGTGGGGGGTCTGCTTTAGATTTTAGTTTGATGTCTAAAATAGGAGCAACTTTCTGTGTTATTTGAGTATGTAAGGATTTTAATGTCAGTTATGTGGATAAGTTGTTCAGTTTTGTTGTGTATATGGGGGTTTATCTATGGTTAATTTGTTCCAATGTTTAGTGAATTCATGCTGCCTGCTTAAATGGTGCCTTGAATCTATTGAAATATGGATTCAACATAGTAGCTAAGATGGATGGAGCAGTCTAAGCTCTGACGGTTGAACAAAATTCTAGTGTATGTATTGTATTTTGGCATTGTAGTTTGGATTCTGGAATGTTAGTCGTGCTCAAAGGCACCTAAAACAAACTGTTATTTGGTTGTGGTATAGGAGTGTCCTAAGAAAACCTTATCACCCACCTCACTTACGTGGGTTATAGGACTAATATTGGAGATATCTACACTCAACACTGGCGTGAGACAGGCGGATGTCCCGACCCAGTATGCAGTTTTACCTGTGAGGAAGGGAAATTTCACTGTGTTTTCTTAAAATTTCATTTAACATGCAACAATGGAGCATATTGTTTGCAATATTATTGAATAATGTTATTTAGACTTAAAAATTTAACTTAATTTGATGACCTAATAATATGACTTTATAGGAATTATTGGATCAATACTAAGTTTTAATATTTGATGGGGCTTGTGGTCAATTCAAATGTCACAGTGAATTAGATCAATAAATGTCACATATGATTGGCGCCCTTGATTCAGTAAGCATGTTTTTCTTAAGTTATTTTTAAGACCTCAATTTGTTTTGAGGAAATTTTTGTAATATATCTCTCCACTAGGGGTACTTAGTGTCTGAATGCACGGTAAGTCAAAAGTGATGGATTTGAGAGAAAATAGGAGAAAATTCAATTTGAATGATTTTGAGATGGATGTTGGTGACTATTAAAGCATCTCCAAGGGTACTCTTCAAAATAGTTACTCAAAATATATTAAAATATTACATTCTTTATTGTAAAGAGTTATTTTTACAAAGTTGCTCCAACTATACTCTTTATTTTAGCTAACTATCTATATAATAAGATAACTCATAAGTTGAACTTTATTCCCTATGCATTTTTCCCTTCAAAATATCACATCACTCATTTCTATCACATGTTCAATTGTTTTAATATTTGATTAATTTATAGTTTAATATAATTTTTATTTCAAATATTATCCATGCATGATAGTATTTATATGTTGACAAATTTTGTCGCACTACATATTTTGAAAAAAAATTGTCGATATTTTAAAGAAAATAATGAATAAATATAAATTTTAAATAATGTAATCAAAGAAATGAAAGAAAATAAAATTCTTTTTTAATATAGTGAGATAGATTTTTTTGAGTGCTCGAATTTTATGTTTTATCGTGTTTTCAGGTACATGTTATGACTAGTTATTAATATTTAAGTCAAAATATTGTTTAACTTGACATGTCATCAAAATACAAAATGATTATTTCCTTGGAGTGTCGAAAGAGTTGTTTGACTCTCTAAATATAAAATAGCTAACCAAATATAAAGAGACATTTAACCAAAATGTAAAATAGCTAGTCAAATAGTTAGTTTCTTGGAGTACAATTTTGTTGTTTTACTCTTTATTTTAACTAACAAATACAAAATAGCTAGTTCCTTAGAGTATCTCCAACAATGCTATCTAAAATAGCTATTCAAAATACATTTAAATATTATATTATCTACTTTAACTAATCATTTTTTCAAATTTACTCTAACAACGCTATGTATTTTAGTTAACCACTTCAATTAACCTTAACTAACTTTCAATAATAAAATTCAAAAAATAACAATTCAACTATACATTGTACAAATTTAATCAATTATAGGCTACAAGAGAGAATCCATCTTCCGAAAATTATTACTCATAAACCAAATTCTATCAAATTAAATCACAAAATTCAAAATAAAATCACCTCAAATTTCACAAATAACCGAAGTCAAATTTTTGGGAGAATTTTACTGGATTTTTGGGAGATTTTGTTGAATTTTTTTGGAGTGTTAATGGATTTTTGGGGGAGTTTATTGGATTTTTGGGAGATTTTGTTGGATGTAACTAGTGAGAAGTGGCTAGCTAGATGTAGCTAGTGAGAGCATCTCCAACAGTGCTATCTAAAATAATTATTCAAAATATATTTAAATATTGTATTATCTATTTTAACTAACTACTTTTTCAAACTCACTCCAACAACGCTATCTATTTTATCTAACCACTTCAACAAAATTTCAATAATAAAATCTAAAATATTATTTAGTATACCATGTCATGACCATATTGATGACATCACATGCTGACGTATTACGCCACGTCATCAAAATTTTAAAATTTTAATTTTTATTAATAACGGTCATATTTACAACGGTCACAAAATTCAAAATTTTAAAATTTGAGTTTTTCAACGGTCATATTTTTGGAAATGTATAAATAGGATATTTCATCTCTCATTGTTTATACACCTCAAATCTATTTCTTCTCATTGCACTCTTCTTTGTGTTTATTTTATGGCTCGTCATCCTATAATACACATGATTCTTAACGATTCTGACTCCGTTGATGAATTTGAGATGGTAATAATTTGTGCTATTGAAATGAACAAATTCAATAGCAAGAAAAGCACTGGTGTACGTTATGATTCCATTCAAGGTCATTCAGTTATTTTTCACAATCAAGTTTAAGGTCGCGAGAAACTGTATCGTGATTATTTTGTTGAACCGCCTATCTATCCTCCAAATTTATTTCGAAGAAGGTTTCGAATGAATCGAGCCATTTTCCTTCGTATTCTATTCAAGGTGGAAGATTATGATCCATATTTTGTTAAAAAAAAAAAAATGCTGCTGAAACTATTGACTTGTCTTCTCTTCAAAAGATGACAGCCGCCATAAAGATGCTTGTTTATGGAGTTCCAAACTAATATTAAGCCACACCAAGGTTATTATAATGTCTTCCTTTACTGTAAAATTGTCACCTCGTTGTTTTTTGGTGGTAGATTCTACTTGAAGAGATATTGGTGCAGATTGACCTATAATCTTATCATCTAAATTTGTTCCATCATGCATGAGATTGGTAAAGTCCGCACCATGTTGAAATGGATCCATGTGTAATACCTATAAGATGAGATAAACAGTGTTCAACTCTTACAAATCAACCATCGACCATCCTTGACTCTATATAACTTTTAGACAATCTCTAGCTCCAGCAAACCCAATGCAAGAAAACTCAATGCAAAACGCAATTCAATAAAATCCAATGCAATTCAATATCATACCAAAAGGAACAAAACAATTTAACCCAATGCCCATTTAAACAATGAGATCTCTCAAACAAACCCCAATGCAAAGGCAATTCAATAAAACCCAATGCAAACTTTCCGTATTTCATCCCCCACCATGTTCAAACTTTCCATATTTTAGTCCCCAATGCAAAGGCAATTCAATAAAACCCAATTCAATATCATACGAAAAGAAACAAAACAATTTAACCCAATGCCCATTTAAACAATGAGATCTCTAAAAAAAAACCCAATGCAAAGGCAATTCAATAAAATCCAATGCAAACTTTCCATATTTCAGCGCCCAATGCAAAGGCAATTCAATAAAACCCAATGCAATTCAATAAAACCCAATTCAATATCATACGAAAAGGAACAAAACAATTTTAACCCAATGCCCATAGCTGTCCAAAAATTTAGAAACATTCAGAAGACTAACAACAGAATCAACTAATTCCTTTTCACATAATTAGTTCAAGCTAAGCAACCAATCAAACTTTCCTATTAACTAGGAATTCTAACCCACCAGTTTTGCTAGCAACCAATCAAACTTTCCAACCAAGATTTACACATGAATTCTAACCCACCAATTCTTGTAAAATCAAAGTTACAAGAATTCCGTAATCATAATTGATAAAGCTGTGTATTTACACTGTGTGAGAGTGAGAGAGAGTTCAATCTAGGTCAAATAAACAATTGATCAAAATGCACGATTTTGAAAAATTAAACATATGAATTAGACCAAAAATGTAGGATCAAAGGAAAAAAAATTCCAATATCCACCAACTGATTTCAATATAAGAACACATCTAATTAACAAAAACAACTCACCAAAAAATATTTGGCAAAACAAGAACAGAAATTTATATAAATCCACAAACAGAGATTCAATCAATCAAAAAACAAGAACTATGAGACAATCGAATCCATAAAGAAATAAATTTGAAGCTTTAGGGTTTTACCTTCGCATATCGATAAGAAACTCAGTTAAGGGGGGGTTTAGGTGAAATCAGAATACCTGAAGCAGCGAACGATGGTCTGAAGCAGCGAACGATGTTCTCAAGCTTCGATGGTCTAAGTCTGGCAGAGAGAGGCAGCATACCTAAAGCTTTAAGCAAATCTGCAACTTTGATGGAGTTTTGAGGCAGAAAAGGTAGGGATCAATGGAGTTTTGTGGTCAATCCATGAAGAGCCAGAGAGAGGTGGAGACTGGCGCAAGGGAGATGTGGGCTAGTTACATGTATCGAGCCAAAAACGGGTTATGAAAAATAGATAGTCAAATAACTAGTCTGTTGGAGCCATTTTAGATAAAAAATTATCTAAAATAGCTAAGGGGAAGAGTTTATCTAGTCTCTTGGAGATGTTCTGAGAAGTGGCCAGCTAGATGTAGCTAGTGAAAATAGGGTTATGGGAAATAGATAGGAGAATACTTAATTTGTTGTAGCCACATTTCAGGAAAAAGCTATCTAAAATAGTTAAAAAGGAGATTTTAGCTAGCCTTTTGGAGTTGCTTAGGGATGCTCTTAGATGTGTCTATTTGATACAATCGGATGAATTTATTAAAATATATCCTCTTTTATATTATAGATTACAAAACAATAACAAATCCACAATATAAGAATAAAAAGCAATTCTGCGAATTGGGTTTTGGAGTATGAACTCTTCGGTCCATAATAAAGAGCAAGGATCCTAATTCTGATAAAGCTAATGTTATAAAAAAAATGAAAAGTTTTTAACAATTTGGAGTCTCCTTTCCTCCCTATGGTGATGTAATAAGGAGATTGTTATCAAATTCAAAACACAATAATCCCAAAATTCATCATTCAAACAAGAAATGAAGAAATCATGAGATATGATAAATAATCAAACAGAACATGAAAGTATAGGAGTGTCATCGGGTAACAAGCCTAAATTGACAATATAAATCACTAATTTAAGTAGAGTATGGTATATGCTGAAATGGACATGTCCAACTTAATTCATTATAACCAACGGTTTAGCAAGTTTTTATGTGTTACAGCGTGACCACGTTCAATTATCATAAGTGCGACACTCATCAGCCTCTGGGTTATCTTTGCAGTAATCCTCCAACGCGTCCGAGTCCTTCTGCTTGTTCTTAGCATGGCTACGCGCTGCACTCAGCTCTTCCACCTCATCCCATGCCGCAACGCACTCTCCGCTAACCGGGTCGCCAGAACAAGCTTCTTCTGCAGCCTTAATGCTCTCAGCCACCTTCTCTGACAGGCCCTCCGGTGCTGCAGCCACGGGTCGGACGTACATGCGGCCCACCACCCCCAGTTGGTCGGACCGCTTCCACGGGTGGTTCAGCCATGGGGACTTAAGGGTGTGGGCTTTTGGGGAGTCTGATGCCTTGGCCAAGAGTCTAGGAGTTGAAAGGCTCACACCAGCTATTGTTGCCATTGTGTGATATTTTTGGTGTACAACTCTTGCAATGGTAGTGTTATTGACTGAAGAACATTTTATATGATGATCAATATGATTGGGGGGCTGTAAACTAATGGGTTTGTGAACGCATATTTCTTATCACTTGTTTGCCAATGATAAACTTGCACGTTAGACCTAGTGGAGATATTCTATGGTAATTTGTGGAAGTATCAATGGTTCCAAAACCACAATTCTTAGACTGTAATGACAACTTTGGCCTCAAGTCTGTTTAGCAAAATAACTGCAAAATATCAGTATTTGTAGCTGTAATTTTAACTAAAATCTTAGATATTTTGACAGTTTTTGTGGCCCCAATCGATTGAACTCTTGTTTTTTTAACGACTCGAACACAAGGTCTGACTGCACATGGCACCGGCTCTTCTGCGGTTGGTATCCTAAGAGCACACGGTACTGTTACTGAGAACGGCACCGTTTCACAATATCTCCCAATCCCCAAAAACCCAATTAGTTTATGCACCGTTTCATGTCATGCATATTATTTATGTCCCAAATTAACCTATTAAATTTCCAGTAATACTCCACTGATCAAATTTTGTGACCAAATTTAGAGCCCAAATGACATGACAGCTGACTTTGGGCTCTTTATTTGGTGCTATGTCATTTGGGCCCAAATTAAAATTTCAAATAATATGCTGTCATATTATTTGAGCTCTGAATTTGATCCCAAAATTTGATCAATCTAGCAATACTCGTAAGTTTCAACTCTAACAGAGTATCTCTAGTAATAGGATAAAAGTTAGTATTTTAAGTTTGGAAAAGGGGGTAAATCCCATTTTGCCCCTATAAAATATAAAAATTCTCAATTTATCTTTCGAATGATTAATTTTCTCACATTGTTTACTCAATAAAATAAAAATATTATAATGTGGTCCACCTTTTTTTTTTTGTTATAATTTTCTGTCTATTTTTGTGATTCCTCATTGATTGATTTGACGCAAAACAGATAAGATGATGGACCACATTATAATATTTTTATTTTCTGCCAATGAGAAAAAAATAATCACTCTAGGGACAAATTAAGAATTTTTATATGGTTGAGGGGAGAAAATAGAATGTTTCTAATTTTTATCGGTACGCGTGAGAAAGTTATTTTCAGTTGGGAAAAGGGGGAAGGTGAGGCTAGAACATGAGTCTGACTACCGGAAGGACCTATTAGGTTTGAGCTTGAAAGTTTGATCTGACAATGTCCTGCCATGGGATGCTAGTCCCTTATATTTCCCTACACTTCACTCGCAATGAACACGAAAAGAATGAAATCAGAGAAGGAACATAAGGCTGTAATCAACGCAGAAACTTCTCGATTCACAGGATTATCACATGTACTCCAGCATCACGTTTTTGGCATCTTATCTTTTGCTTTGCTTCTCAGTTTCTATTTACCGTTATTCTACTACATTCTTTCCTTTGTCCTATTTCTTGCTTTGTCTTTATATATATATCCCAGGAGCTTGCTAGTAGCAAATAGAATACATTAAAACCAAGGGAGATCGAAATACAGAACTTGAAGAAAATGAGGGCTCAGCTACTCTTCATGACTGCAGGCATCATCGTTCTTAGTTTGGCAGGTGACAGTAGTCTTATGTAGATGCATTGGGCCACCTTATACCCATGGGGTCATGGTCTCCATAGGTTTTTAAAAATTCTTTTAAACTCTTCAAGTTTTGTGTTATTTATTGAAAATTATGAGATTGGACCCTCTTAAGTTTATTTGCTTTCAAGATGGTTCCCTATAATCCTACAATATATTTTTCCAACTCTTAGCTCCTCCCTGGAGAAATTGTTACTCTATTCTTGTGTACATGTCAACACCTTCGTGTTTGCCTTATGGTTATCACTCAACTCAATTCTACATATAATTCTTGTCACCGTGAAATTATGTCAGTAGTCACCACTCACGTAAATATAGGGATACATAAATTTCAGGAAGAATTATGCTCACATTTTTTTAAGTTTGTCGTTTAATCACTTAGACCTCCTGACATTTGAAATATTACACTTATATTTCCTGAGGTTTGTCACTTAATCACTCAGACCTCCTAACATTTAAAAAATTATACTTAAACCCCTATTATAAATATATCCATTAATAAATTATATTCAGACTCCCTGAAGTTTGTAAACATATATTACTTAGACCCCTTAAGTTTAAAATGTTATATTTAAATTAAAAATATTTCAATCAAAGATAAAATATTTAAATATTTTAAATTTTACAATTAAAAATCACGTTCTATTGTATCATTTATTGAAATAAAATACAAAATAAAACTTCAATTTTTTCTTAAAAAATCGTAATTAGTATAGAATTATATTGTCTATTGGAATTTAATTTGGTCGTTTAAACAACCAAATTAAAATACCAAATTATCCCAATTGAAGCTAAAAGATATTGTGTTCATACAATTTGACTCATTGTTTAATTTTTTTAGTTTTATTCTAATAGATATTATAATTTTATACTAACTATGCTTTTTTTTTTTAAAGTTAGATTTTTATTTTTGATTTTATTTAAATAAATGATATAATAGAACATGAATTTTGGTTGTAATATTCATGTTCTATTAAGAATGACTTAAATCTCTTGTTTGATTTTTTAGTTTTATTCCAATAGATAGTATAATTGTATACTAATTACAATTTTTTACGAAAAAGTTGAATTTTTATTTTTAATTTTATTTCAATAAAACATGAATTTTGATTGTAAAATTTAAAATATTTGTTATTCTATCTTTGATTGAAGTATTTTTGTTTTAAGTATAATATTTTATATTTAAGAAGTCTAAATATTATATACGTACAAACTTCAAGGGGGTCTAGGTGTAATTTATTAACAGATATATTTACAGCAGAGGTCTAAGTGTTATGCGCGAACAAATCTTAGGGGGTTTGTGTGTAATATTTTAAATGTCAAGGGATCTGAGTGATTAAGTGACAAACCTCAGGGGGTCTAGGTGTAATTCTCCCTAAATTTCAAGGTAGTTTAAGTAGTCACAAAGCCGAGCCGTAAATCCAGACGTCTTGAGTTCGAATCTTTACAATTCGTTTAAGAGGGATTTGTCCCTCATGAATTCTCTAATTCTAGCGTGAATGGTCTATTTTTGATCGTACTAGAGATTAGATTAGTCGAGTTCGCGTAAGTTAGTTTAAACACTCCTAACCGCTGATTAAAAAAAATATATAACGATACATACATGTGTGTGTGGAAGTATGGAAGGGAAGAAATTGTTTAGGTGGCCATCACTAATAAAATATTATATATTCTTGCTAAATAACTGTCATTTATTACTGTGTTAGAAATTTTTTCGAAAAAACTAACTTGTGTATTTCACAAATCAGGATTGTGGTTATTTTGTATTGAGTGTTTACATCACTTAACAATGTCACGTGGTGTGTAACTCACCGAAAAAAAGTGCGATTTCTAGTCCTTCTTTCGGTGCAATGATTTTCTTTTCCTTTTTTCCTCTTTGGCTCTTGAATTGGGGCACTAATAATTTAGTTTCTTAAACCAATCGACAACAATGGTCGATGGAACTTTATGGTGGTTTAGTAGTTGAATTTGATATTTGATATTTTCGAGATTTGAAGTTTAATCTTTTTTTATATCCCCTAAAAATTAGTCAAATTGGTCCCTTAAGGGATATTTTTAATCTAAGTTAAGTCACGGTGGTTAACTGTTGAGTTCAAGAGAGTAGTCGGCGTATGGGAAGAAAAAGACACCAATGGTCAATGGGGTTATAAGGTCTAATGCTTCTGAAACTGAAAGTATACATGATCTTTTTTCGTTTCCTTGTTTCCCTTGTTTATTCTGACGCCATCGCCTATTAATCTACAGCTGAGAAATGCCGGCAGCTAGTAGGCAAAGAGTCTGCTTCCAAGAGCTGGACAGAGAGGTTTGCATTGGTGGAGTGCTTCGACATGGGGTATGGCACCGTAGCATGCCTAATCAAACAGTTCGTGAAGCTCTATTTCTACTACATGAGGGCCGTTAACGTCCACAAAATCAGAGTCCAGGCAACCGACGTAGCCTTGAAGAAAGAACTGTCACAAGGGCATAGCTATGCAGACGCCATGAAAAGGGCACGCCAACAAGGGAAGGACACTGCAAAGCAAGCATCAAAGCAAGCAAAATTCATCATGGGCCCTGTGATATCTTCAGGATGGGACTTGTTTGAGACCCTTTACGTTGGGGGTACCTTAGCGGAAGCTATCACTAGGAGCATTGGAACCTTTTTTGGGGCTTACATTGGAGGGATCATTGGAGACGGAAAGCTTCGGTGGATGGGTCATATTGTGGGAAGCCTGTTTGGGAGTTGGGTTGGAGGAAGGGTAGGATTGATGGCGTACGATATCGGGAAAGGAGGGGAGTATTTGCTTCATGTTGCTCATAAAGAATGAAAGATGAATCATTATCTAGTAGCTGAATAAGACCAAGTTGGAACAGTTTCGAGTGATGTTCTATTAATACTAGTTTGTAATTGAAAAACTAGTAATTCTGTATAATAAATATCTAACGTGAAAATAATAAAATCTATATAATAACTAGATATTTGAAATTTTATCTCCATATATTTTATCCCTAAAAAAGTCACATCACCTATTTTTATTATAAAAAATGTTACATAACTCATGAAATTCAAAAGTTAAAACCAAATGCATATCATCTATTGGATGAATATAGGATGAGTGAGTCTCATTAAAAAAATTAATTGAATCTACTCATTCAAAGTATGATATGCATTTGAATTATAATTTATTAGATTTCATTTGAGTTTTGTACTATTACTCTTTTATCATATATCATTTAATATTTTATTAATTTGTAATTTAACACAATTTTTATTATAGACATTGTTCATACGTGATAGTGTACACATGTTGAGAAATTTTATCAAATTACATATTTTGAAAAAAATTTGTTAATTTTTTAAAGAAAATAATGAGTAAAAAATAATTTTAAAAGATGTAATCAAAAAAGAAAGAAACAAAATTGTTATTTAATATAATGAGATCAATTTTTTGGACGTTCAAATTTTATATATCATTGTGCCTTCAGGCACGAGTTATGACTAATATATCTATATAATAAAGTAGTTATGGTCTTGTAATTATTTATTCTATAAAACTAATTCAAGGTTTTTATATGTATTTTATCACTTGTTTCTTAATTTGTAAATAACAATTAATATAAATAAAAAATAACACATTGATTATAAACACCAAATAATTTTCAATACAAAATGAACTTTATATTGCAAATCAATATATAATTTTATCAAAATTTGACCTTTAATTTTGTCCAATTTATATTCAACTTTGTTGGATTAATATCAAATTAATTTTTATTGTTATCAATTAATATTAAAATTCATTTAAACAATTTTTTAGAGTACTAGATTACATTAATTTTTTGGGTACTAAATCAAAATTTATTTGTTTTTATAAAATTTTTAATTTTTTTTCATACTAAATTTGGAGAAGGGGAATTGTAAAAATAAAAAAAAATTAGAATGAATTTATCAATTTTCGTTAACAATATTGACGAAAGAGAGACAGAGGGGATCTCCATGCAATGAATTTCAAATCTCAAGGGGTCTCCGTGTTATATATAAAATGTCAGGAGGTGTCTGTATAATATTTCCAACACTCAGAGGATGTCCGTGATTTTTGCCCTATTTTTTAATTAAACATTAATTATGCAATTATTTATTGCGTGAAACTAATTCAAAGTTTATATATATGACAACATATATTTTGTCACTTATTTTTTAATTTGCAAATCACACTTAATGTAAATAAAAAATAGCATGTTGACTATAAACACCAAATAATATTCAACACGAAATAAATTTTAGATTGTAAATGAATATATAATTTTATCAAAAAAATGACATTTAATTTTTTTCAATTTATATTCAATTTTTTTGAATTAATATCAAATTAATTTTTATTGTTATCAAATTAATATTGATATTCATTTAATTAATTTTTTTTACTAAATTATATCAATTTTTGGTACTAAATAAAATTTTATTCAATTTTATTCAATTTTTAATTTTTTTGGTACTAAATTTTGAGAATGACAATTATAAAAATAATAAAATTTTTTAGAATAAAATTATCAGTTTTCATTAGCAACATTGATGGAAGGGAGGCAAATGGTGTTTCTATGTAATGAATTTCAAATCTCAGGAGGTCTTCGTGTTATTTATAAAATATCAGAAGGTGTCTGTATAATATTGTCAATAGTTAGGGGATGTTCGTCATTTTTACCCTATTTTTTAATTAAATATTAAACTATGATTATTATTTTATCTTAAAAAGTTGAATTATTGTATTTTTAATAAAAATAATTACTGGTTAGGAGCGTTTGTTGGTAACCAAAAAATAAATATGTATGAGTGTGTTTCTATGTATATTTATATGTGGAGGATTGAATATTTGGTGATTGAATTTATAGTTATAGTATGTCATTTGGGGTTGAATAGTGAGAGTGGTGATAAATTCATGGGTTATATAAATGAGCAAGGTTTGGTTGATTTTTATTTGTCGCTTAACGATTGTGAATTTAATTGTGCTATGTTAGTTTTTTTTTTTTTGACTTGATGTACTTATTATAGGGGTGACAATTTTTGACACGACACGATAACCCGATACGAACAAATGGGTTTGAGTTGACTAATTTTTTGACACGACCCGTCAACACAAAATTTTATGGGTCATGTTCGGGTTCAACCTGTTTAACCCGAATTTATCCAAATCGACCCGTATATTTAATTGGGTTGACACGAACCCGCTGACCTATTTTGACCCGGAATTGACCCACCACTATATAAAGCATTTAATTGTTTTTTCCAAACCCTAACTTCATTTTTTCCTTCCCTCTGTCCAGTCGCCTCCCTCCTTCCTTCTGTCCAGTCGTTTCCCTTCCCTCATTCTCTCTGTCCAGACTCCAGTCGATCTCTCTTGGCGACCAGCAGACTAGACCAGGTTAACTCTCTCTCTCTCTCTCGCTCTTTCTCTTTCTCTGTCTCTTCCTCTTGGCGTGTATTTTTGGCGATCAGCGGAACAAAGCAGTTTGAAATTGTTAATATGGTGAAACAGAGCAGCTTGAAATTGTTATTGCATTTAATATGGCCTCTAGCTTGAGATAATTACTCATGAACACAAGTTTTGTTATTGGTTACTAATTTGTTATTTCACAAATCTCAAAGCCAGTGAAAAGACTCGGGTTTGATGGTGTCATCAAACCCTTGCTAAGTCATGCCAAACTTTACTCATCTTTTGAGTGGACTTTTTGGTATTCTCTTTTTAGGACTCTCGGGATCTCGATGTTGATCTCTAACAGTATAAGGTGAACATGGATACTAAAATTAATTTATGTTCCCATTGAACTCTCCAATAATTTCAATCCATATACACCTTATTCTGTTAGATTTAGTAATTATCGTGGGATTGACTTGTTCATTTTCCTATTGTGGGGTGTGGGATGGTATCACCATTGTATTGAATATATATATTTTCACTTATTTCAGTAGCCGTACACTTACCCTGATTGCAGTATTCAAGTGGTCTATATTGTTGGAAACAAAATTCTGGGTGATGTTTTGTTTTTGTTGTTCATTGAAATTCCGGATTAAGCTTGATCTTTGTTGGAATTTTTAGAAACTCAGATCATGTTCTATAATCATGTTCTATGCTTTTAGAATGCTCATTTTGTTGTGAGTTCCAACCTGATCTATGTCCAGAGCTTATGATTTTGGGCTGAGCATGTTCATTACTTTATGTGTTATGCCCAGATCCGTGATTAAGCTTGTTGATGCTTCGTTGGCTTTGGAAGATATTCTTTCTGTTATTCATATTCTGACTACTCTCCTTATTTTTTGCGGTGCTACTGAAAAAAGTTCACTCAAGCTTTGATTCTCCAACAGCTTGCATCTAAAGTTGATAACAGTAAAAGTTTTAAAGCTTTCTGTGTAATGTGTCTGTGTAATGTGTGCATCTTGCAATCAAAATTTATTTTCAAGATTATATGTAACTAAAAGCTTTCTGTTTTAGTCCTAAAATAGATTATCATGCCCCAAACCAAATCAACTCTAACTTTCTGTTCATTACCTGAAACTTTCACTGTGTACACTCTAACTTGATGTATCGATCACTTGAAGCTTTCTGTTCATTACGTTTCTAATTTCTGGAATCTCATTACGTTTCTAATTTTTTTAATTGTCCTGAAAAATGGAGGATACATCATGTACTCAACCGACTATAGATGTCAATATTGAGCTTGAGAATACATTCAATGTTGCCCCAGATACAGAAAGTGGAGATAATAAGAATGATGAAAATCGGTAATGTACTTTCACATCAGAGGTATGGGGGTATTTTAGAAAGTATGTAAATCAAGACAATGTTACAATGGCACAATGCAACAAATGTAAGATTGAGTATAATGCTGCTAGTAAGTATGGAACTGGTAATTTGTGGCGTCATTTAGAGACTTGTTTGAAACAACGTGATGTGAGCCAGTTAATTTTAAGTCAAAGTAAAAGGTCTATTACTGCACGGTCTTTGAAGGTTAACGAGGAAAACTTTCGAGAGATGTTAATACGTTTAGTAATTAGACATGATTTGCCCTTTCAGTTCGTTGAGTATGAATGTGTGAGATAGCTACTTAAATTCAGATGTCAAATTTATTACAAGAAACACGGCTAAGGCTGATATTCTAAAATTGCATGCAAAAGAGATGCGTAGGTTGTCTGTTATCTTGCATGACATACCTGGTAGGATTAGTTTGACTTTTGATTTGTGGATATCTATTGCTACCGATGGGTATTTAAGTCTCACAACACATTTTATCAACAAAGATTGGGTATTGCAAAAAAGAATTCTGAATTTTTCTTACATGCCTCCTCCACACAGTGGCATTGCACTGACAAGATTTATGGTTTGTTGACAAAATGGGGGGTTAAGAAAAAGTTATTTTCAATTACTTTGGATAATGCTTCTGCAAATGATGTCATGGTTGATATGCTTAAGAATCAACTTAATTTGATAGATGCTTTGCTTGGTGATGGTGGATTTTTTCATATTCGTTGTTGTGCTCATATTCTAAACTTGATTGTGCAAGAGGGGTTGAAAGAAATAGATTTAGCTGTGGAAAAAGTCAGAGAGAGTGTCAAGTATGTAAAAGGTTCTCTGGCAAGAAAACAAAAATTCTTAGAGTGTGTTGCACAAACATCTTTATATAGCAAAAAAAGTTTGAGGCAAGATGTTCCTACTAGATGGAACTCAACATATTTGATGCTTGCAAGTGCAATTTACTACCGTCATGCCTTTTGTCATTTGCAACTTGTGGATTCTAATTTTAAGCATTGCCCATCTCAAGAGGAATGGATCAAAGTTGAAAAGATTCAGATGTTTTTAAAAAATTTCTATGATACTACAAAGTTTGAATGCTTTTTTGAGAAGAATGTCGTGTCAAATGTATGAAAAATTTGAGAAGTATTGGTTGGAGTATAGC